ACCAATATTTGATTTTTTTAGAATATAAAATTCAAAGAATCAACAACTCATCTACCAGAATTTAATATCTTGACAAGTAGTTGAAATTTTTTTAGCGATTATACTACCGGGACTTCTTTTTTTTCGAATGTACCCACTTGACCTTTGTCAGTTTAAGGTTTTTCGGACTTTTTCGAACGCCATCTTGTAGAGAATGAAAAGTTGGGGGAACGAATTGGGAAATCCTCAGAAAGCTTCTACTGTTGTGGAGTTATGGACTGTTGATTATTGTATTTTTTTGACTGTTTTAGGTTGGTTATGTTGTATTTTGGTTATCTTTCAGTAGTTGCTGTTTTCTGTGGTTTCAGTTATTCATTGAATTGCTCAAATAGGTGTGGTTCGCATATTGATGGACGTGTTCATTTAGGATATGTTTGTATTGGTGTCAATGATTGACGGTTTATGATGGTTTTGTTGGTCTGTACTGAATGATATTTTGATCATTAGTGTGGTTTTGTGATAAATCAATACAATTCTGTTATGATATGAATTCATCGGTAAATTAGTTGTCTTCTTTTTACCTGATGGTGTACTTGTTGGTTACCTTCATTTTGATTCTTATTTAATTCATATGAGAACCAACCTATTTTTGATGAGGAAACGTCCAATTTTGTACGCAATCTTTTTGTACTAGTACTTTTTGCCTATAATATTGTTCTTTGATTAGGTGCGAACCCGTCTATTTAACTTAAATAAAGCATTGAAATCAAAACGTGTGTTTAGATACTAATTGTTGAAATTCAATGTGTAGGTTTTATTTTTGAAATTGACAATCTTAGCTTCGAATCTATATCCACTTCAGTGTTTAACACATCCGCACTGGAATTGCTATTCATTCATTTCAAGTACCTATAGTTTAATTATATATTGAGTACATTCGAAGTATTTTGATTATTATTCTAACGTATGTTCATCATTTTAAATGTCTAGTGTCTATTTTCTTTGTTTATATATGATTTTTAGTATAATAAGAAATAATCATTAAAATTGCACATCTGAAAGAATTGATTATATTTACTATACCGAATAATTCTTGTTTAGATATTGATAGTGATAATGATGATATTGAAATAAAACAGGATCCGATAAATAAGTATTAGAGTACTTTGACCTATTTTACAAGGAAATTTACTTTTCTATACTCGTTTATACATTGATTAAACAAAAACTAATTTTTGATGGAAAGCTCCAATATGATTCTATTTGGAAACTTTGAATCTATATCGTTATGGAATCTTAAAATTAAGGTATTACCTAGAAGTAGTCAAAGATCAATTTCAAAGAATGATCAATGTCATTTATTTTATGGTCGATTCATTCAAATTAAAACATATCCTCTATTACCACTTACGAACTAGATATAGTTCAATGTATAAATAAGTGTAAATTTTAACATCAACTGATAATTAGTTTGAGTTCTTTCATTTTACGAAGTCATCGAGATTAGATAATTATTTGTTAATATAATATTAAGGTTTGTTCTAATCTATTGAAATTTTCTTTTTTATTATTATGTTAAGTATTAACTTCCTCGAATTTTATTTGAATGAGTCTTTACTTTATATAATAATAGAAGTTTGAAGATACCTGATGAATCCCTTGAGAAAGGACGAAACACGTCGTGTCGATCTTGGTTTTCTTAAAAACTTAAATTTAATTTCTTTTTTGATTTTTGTCAAAAAATTTTTAAATGTATAACAGTATATTTTTATCTTGTGATTGTTATTCAATCATTTAGATTATTTGCCATCTGATGATTCCTTTTGCAAGGATGAAATCTATAGATTATGGTAGCTAGTCACACTACTACGAAGTGAATTCTTCAGCATATATTTATTTATTTATTTATATGTCAGAATTAGAATTAATCTTTTGATTTTTCTTTAAAATCATTTGAATTATTTGCCATCTGATGATTTGGGTTGTTCCAATGAAATCTATAGATTATGGTAGATAGTCACACCCACCCTCTGACTTTCTTTTTCATGATATGCACCCAAATATCGATATCATGGTAGCTGTTCACATCCAGACTCAGGATTAGTAAGACGAATTTTATTAAGAAAAGAAAACCTGGGAACAGTAAGAAAATAGAGAAAAGGAAACGTCATACAGTTCTGATAAATATGGGCAATGGTGTGCTTTTAATCACTTGAGAGTTGATAAATGGGTTGTTCCATCAAAGAATGTATTGTCAGCTAATTTTTCAACGATAGGAAAATGAGCTAAGTTCTCCATGCCTTGTAGCAACCAATGAATATTTTCTTGTTCGTGCTTTTCTCCAAGGAGTATTGGACCGAAAATCCTAATCCATAATCGGTAAACGCTCATTGTTTGATGAGCGAGACGATGATTGGAGACGACAGCATAATTTGAAGCAACAATTCCATTAACAACAATTGTTCCAGAAGGTGTAAGAGGAGCATAATATCCAATCGATGTTGTCAACTGAATGTCTACAATTTCATCAGCTATAGTCTGTCCATTGTCCAATATTCGTTTGAGATGATCACCAACATGAAGATTTCCAGCAAAGATGGCTTCGTCATTTTTATTTTTGAAAAGAAAGATCAGATGATTAGCAGAGATAAGAAGAGGTTCCATTGACTTTTGAGTTTCAATGCGCAAATATTGAGATTCTTGATCACGATTAGCATGAATAAAGTCGAGTACTTCTTCAAACGTCCCATCTCCAACTAAAACTCGATCACCGTATTGGATATCAGAAAGTGACTTTTTGCTGCCATTCGAAAGGATCACTTGGCCTGAACCAGGAAAGCATGCTGCTTGTTTTGGGATTTGGGTCTGACAGACCTTGGACATACATACACTGCTTGAAACACTACTGCAAGTACATGTTACTTGCTCGGTGGGATCTGCCCAGTCAACAGCCAATGCTGGGACGAGGAACACGAAAAATAACGGGCATACATAAACGAAATACATCGTAAATATAGTGAAGTTAACTATAATGGCTTTTTTTTCTTGAACACGTTTTTTCTCTCTCTATATATATATGTAGAGAGAGAGAGAGCGAGAGAGAGATCGATTCCATATTTGAATATTTACTCGCGACTCTTTACAATGTCTGACGGAAGAGAGAAAAGTAGTATGGTATTCGGAGAAAAGCTTGAATTGTAGGCGTTGGATAATATAAAATAGGTGGTCTCCTCGGTTACTTCCAACACCTTCGATGAGTCAGACAAACATTGTCATCTTTTTTATTTGTAGATCGAAGAAAAATAGAAAAAACAAGGTGTACAATTTTTCTATTTCGTGAAATTCGATAGTGTTGCTAGAAGTAATTAATTAATTTTTTTCGTCTGTGCTGCAAGGTTATCATGAAGTAGCTTCGGTTAAATTACATGTAAATGTTTTTTTTTTCTCGTTAAATGATTCAAAGATCATGAAAAAATGAGACAACTATAAATTACTTATGTTTGTGCTTCTTATAAGAATAAAGTTGAAACAAGTCATGTCATTAATCGATATTATTCTCAGCAGATACTTTTAGACACTAGAATCTCAATTAAAAACAAAACCATGATTTATCTCATTCATTTACACATATCTAGGTATATCGAGAATATAAAATACAAGAATGTATAAAAACCAAACGTGATCAATCTAATGCCATCTAATATAAATTATATTTGGTCAATGATTTCGACGTCAAACATAACATCAACTTAGGACCGCTGGTAAAAACGACATACGTATTAAAATTCATTTACTTAAATAAATATTTATAAATAGAATGTTCATAGTTAGATAAATTATTCTGTTTATGTGGTTTTCTAATGGCAATATTAAAAGCAAAGTAGTGCATCTCATATTTGTTCGATACAGAGTAGAAAATTGAATAAGCCGTTCCCAACATTGTCTATTTTTTCAATTGCACTCGTATTGAACAAAACAATTATGGGAAAATAAATACGATACTTCTTTCTCTATAGAATGACAAAAGTTGAATAATATCTCTTCTTATGTTAATATTTTTTGTGTTTTTTTTTCAGATACACAAAACGAAATCATTCTTCAATACTCAAACATTTCTTTGACTTTTAATCGATTGAAATTGTTTATTTGTATTTGAAGTTGGAAAAACAAAAGTTTTAAATATCTTATGTTGATAGTTTTCACAGAATTTTAAATCACACTTGAAATATTTGTCTGTATTGAAAGAAAAAAAAACATTCAAATTTTGATTGATCCTAGGACAACATAAAATTTTTAACTTCAACTAAATTCTGTTAAGGCAGACTTGAAATTTTTTATATTAACCGTATTGTGTTAAGGTAAATTTAAAATTTTAAGTTCATCTAGGGTAAAGTAAAATTTCTATATTTCGTATAGAAGAATTCGAATTATTTTTCAAACAAAGAGTGTAAAATTGATTAGTCTTATATTAGTTTTCGAAATATACACGGATGTTGGAATTAGAAACATTGAAAACTGACTTTGTTTTTCCATAAATAATGACATTGTGTTTGTATCTTTTATTTTCGTTGTTCAACTACAGCGATTCTTTGTTTTCAAGAAGTTACGTTACATATATACATTTTTCGTTAGCAATAATACTAATTCATGGCATTCACATCATACAGATTTCTGCACACTTCATCAAATGTCATTGTCGGTAAAATTGTTGAATTGACAACATGTAAATCTTGAAAATTACAATTGAATAAATCTAATAGATTGAATGCTTGAAATCTTGAAGAAATTATATACTTTTTGTACATAATTGATACATATGCGATCCATGTGTTGCTAAATCAACGGATAATATTTTGCATGCTAGTACTTTAAGTGTAATATTTGTTAAATCGGTTTTGTCGGCTATTAAACCACCTAAGTCACCAATTTTATATTCATATCTATAGAATGCATTATTAAGTAATTTCTATTGTTTAGTCATATGAGTTATGTAAACGAATTCGACTGCGCCAGATTGTATTTGTTGATGGTTTTTAACTGCATTGATATTAATATTATTATTATTATTTTTACTGATAGATTCTTTACCTAAACGAATATATAATAGAAGCAAATAAGGTCAACCGTCTAAGAAGATTACATTTTAAAAAAATAGGCTTTTTATCGAACCCCCGAAAAAAGTTCCGTAAATTTGAAAAAGCTTGCAAATGCATTCAAATCAGAGACGTGCACAGGACGAGATTTTTCCACTTGTTCTGGCCTGTTCTGGCTAGTTTCTCGTCCTGGCGGGCGGCATTACAGAACCAAAATTAAGATCACGTCCTGTCCTGTGCACGTCTCTGGTTTCAATTACGTGTAGAGAAAAATTATATTTCAATCTCAAACAAATTCATTTTTCACTCTTTTCTATGTTACTTTAAACCATGATTTAAATGATCGCTATTTAAAAAATCTAGTTTTCCTTTGCTTTTCGATTTTGCTCTCAAACTTTTATGAAACTTTTTTCACTTTAATTTGATTTTTTCTTTTTTGTAACTTAATTTATTTGAAAGAAAAAGAAAAATAGCATTGTTCAATCTTGTCACATTAAACTGACATTGAGGACATGTGCAGCTACATATTCAGTACGAAAAAAGCCATACAACGAAAGAAAAGGTAAGCGCATCATCGTTGTTTTGAAATTTCGATTTTGTGTCAGAGGAAAGAAAATTTTAAGTTCTCCTAAAGGTATATTTTAAATATGCTTCCTCTGTGCACGTTATTAAACCTTTCATGTTTGAATTTTTGCTATAAGACAAAATCAAAGTATGTTTCACATTCACAACACAGTTAATATAATATGATAATAGATCTCCTAGCGTATATTTAAATATATATCAAGCCTTACTATTTTAGTGCATGTTGCATTCATCTATCAGATTATTCCATCTCAAACACTATGAAGCAACGCTTCTATATGTTACTTGATAATCATATCTTAAATTTAAATCGAAAATTTCGAAATAAATTTTCTGTAAGACAATCATTGTATGATGATATAGTATTAGTTCTTCGAGACGGTTGGGGAGATTCTCAATTTAAATTTTGGGTTCGTAAAAATTTTAAATTAATTTGGAATGGTAACGAGAATATTCTGTATGAAATTGAATCGAATCTTCCAATTGTCATATACGAAAATTTATATGAAAAAATCAAAGAATGTCACGAGAAGGTTGGTCATCGTGGCCGAGACAAAACATGGATTGAAGTTTGTGAAACATAAAATACTTCCATTCATTATATAAAATATCTGAATTTTGTTTGCTTTTATTTGAGGTGAAGAAGCAATACGCATGGATTCCAATGGATAGTGTCAAAATCTTTGTTTCGCAATGTGATATATGTTTGAAGAGAAAAGCAGAAACATTTTCACATCCGTTAGCTGGTAAGTTTAAGATAAATAATATGATCATATGTAACAAATAGGCAAATTAATTTTGCTTTTCTTTTCTTATATCTAAGAAAAACTGACTAACTCTTATGAATATTTAAATCGTCTTAAAATGAATGTTCTTGATATGCAAAACATGTCAGATGGAGAATACAAATGGATCCTTTACATGAGAGATCGATTTACAAAATGTTCTTGGGCTTATCCATTAAAATCTAACGAAATGGAACCAATTACCGAAAAACTTCTACAGCAGTACTATTTTTTTGCAATATCACAAGCTTTGCAAAGTGTTCATAGAAGAGAATTCGCTGCTCAAGTAATAGAGGTACTACACATATTTAGAAAAATCTCTTATTCTTCTTTCATAATCGATTATTTCAACGGTTTTTTAAAAACTAAATAGAATTTTGAAAAGACATGGACCAATCTCAAAATTATCAATGGCCGAATTATGCATTCATGTACCCATAATTTTACAGAAGATGATAGTAATGAACCATTTAAATCAATTCTTTATGAATGGATGCTATCGAATAATCGAAAAGATTGGTCAAATTGTAGCTATGAAAATTAGTACACTAATGACTATTCAATCCAAAAAACTTCTTCGTTTAGGTTTGCTTTCAGTAATTCATTCAATGAAAAACGGAGCAGCTAATCTGGCCAACAATAAAACTCCAACTGAAATTGTATTCCATCAAAACACAAACTACAATGTAGAAACATGTCAGATTTTATCAAATCATGTTTGCTTGGATGAAGAGAATTGTCCATACAATTTTATTGATGAGTTGAAAAAATCCACACATCTATTGAATTTTGTTCAAAATACGAATTCTTCCAATGGTAGTTTATCATCAAGCCCGTCAAATCATGCGCTTCAAGAAATATCAAAGTCATCCATTTCAATACCACCATCAAGACTAAAATCTTATGCTTCTTCTAATATATCTAGTAGTACGAAAAAAAGACGACGACTCACATCAGCTTCCAATCAACAGATTAAAGTGTTCGATGAAGGTAAAATTATCATACACGCCAATATACGCTATTGAAAGATATTATATTCTATATCCAGTGTATTTTTTGTTTAGACAAACCATCTAATAATAATAATAATAATAAAAACACTAATTTAATCAATAATCATCAACAAATACAATCGAAAACTAACGAAATCGTCTATATGACAAATATGACTCAAGGGCAAAAGTTATTTAATAATACATCATATAAATATGAATATAAAGTTGGTGACTTAGTTGGTGTAATCATTGGCAAAATCGAAACAGTCAACGTTGAACTCAAAGTATTAGCATGTAAAATATTATCCATTGAGTTGGTAGCAGAAGATACATATGCCTATCAATTATATACAAAAGCATGTATAATTTCTTCAAAATTTCAAGCATCCGATCTATTGAATTTATGTAATTGTGATTTTTCTGATCTGATTACTGTCGATCCAACTAATCTACCAAAGCTGACATTTAATGAAGCCTGCAAAATTTTATCTTGAAAGTGAACGATATAATCTAGTACCACATTATTGAAGAATACATATGTGTAGTGGAACTTATTCACTCAAGAATTTTTATTCCTGAGCAAGAATAACTAAATATTACAGTAAAATCAACTTTTATCTATCTAGTTCTATTTTATGTACATTGATTTTTCAAAAATACAATAAACAAAGTAACTTGACACTCTTTACAAAAATTGAAAATTCTTCTATATGAAAAATTTCAAATTTTATTTTACACTGGGTGAGCTTAAAAATTTTATTTTACCCTAGGAGAACTTGAAAATTTTAAGTTGTCCTTAACAGAATCTAGTAAAAATTAAAAATTTCATCTTCTCCTAGGATAAATTAAAACTTTCTGTTTTTCCGTTCTATGAATACACTTGTACTTCAAATATGATTTATAATTTCACGAAAAATATCGCCATAAACAATGTGCACTTCAGCACTTCGCCTATATACACAAATAAACAATTCGAATTCATTAAAAATAAGAGGCCTTCTCATACTGAATCATTGTCATTCGTTAGTTGTTGTGTAGAACTATGAATCAAAAGAAAAACATAAGAGATTATTCATA